CTACTCCCATGGGGAAAACAAAAAGAAAAACTATGTAGCACTTTAAAGACTAACAAGATGGTTTAATAGGTGATGAGCTTTCGTGGACCAGACTCACTTCCTCAGATCATATTCTGGAAGAGAATTGATATGACCATTTATACCAAAGGAATACAATGAAAAAAGTGAACACATTATAAAACTGACAAATCAGATTTAGTACAGAAGATGGGGTGAGGGGGAAGGAAGGAGGAAATAGCTATTTATGAGTCAATGAATGGCTAATCAGGGGTGATAAGTGGAAAGCTATCTTTATAATGGTTAAGGTAATTAGCATCTTTGTTTAGGCCCATTCATAAAGTGTCAAATTTAAGCATGAAAGAAAGTTCTGAAATTTCTCTCTGTAATCTGGTGTTAAAGTCTCTTTGAAGTAAAATGCATTTAGTAAGGTTGTTAAGACTATGTCCAGGTAGGCTGAAATGAAAAGCAACTGGTTTTTCCTTGTGAAGATGTCTGATTTGTGGGCATTAATTTTTTGGCAAAGTATCTGAGAAGTCTGTCCAATACACATATCAGAAGGACACTGTTGGCACATGATGGCATAAATTATATTTCTGGATGAACAGGAATATGTGTTCTTGATCATATAACTGACATGGTTAGGTCCAGTGATGGTGTCACCAGAGTAAATATGTGGAAAAGCTGGCAATGGGATTTGTTGCAAGGGAAAGTTCCAGGGTTGGTATTAATGTGGTATGTCCTGTGGTTGTTGGTAAGAATCTTCCTGAGGTTAGGTGGTTGTCGATAGACTATAGTTCTGTCCCCCAGAGCCTCTCAGAGTGTAGTATAGTATCCTGTTCCAGTATAGGTTGTAGGTTATTGATAATGCGTTGGTGGGGTTTAAGTTGAGGGCTGTAGGTGATGACAAGTGGTGTTCTATTGTTGGTTTTCTTGGGCCTGTCTATAAGTAGATAGTTTCTGGGTATTCATCTGGCTCTTTCAATTTGATTTTTTATTTCCCCCAGTGGGTAATTGAGATTTACAAGTGCTTGGTAGAGATATTGAAGTTTCTTGTATCTGTCAGTGAGATTAGAGCAGATGCGATTATACCTAAGGGCTTGACTATAGACAATGGATCGTATGGTGTGTCCTGGATGGAAGCTGGAGGCATGTAGGTAAGTGTAGCAGTCAGTGGGTTTTCTGTAGAGAGTGGTATTTAATTTTCCATTAGTGATTTGTACTGTAGTGCCAGGAAATGGATCTCTCGTGTTGAATGGTCCAGGCTGAGATTGATGGTGGAATGTAGGTTGTTAAAGTCTCTGTGGAAAGCATCCAGTGTTTCTTGTCCATGGGTCCAGATTATAAAGATGTCTTCGACGCAGCATAAGTAAAGGAGGGGTAGAAGTATACGGAAACGTTGTTCTAAGTCAGCCGTAAAGATGTTAGCGTACTGTGGGACCATGCGGATACTCATGGGTAAAGTTACTCAGCTGTTAATGTGTTTGTAATAACAGTTTTAGTGAGTATTATTTAGTTTATAGGCTATTTCAGAATTTCTTTGATTTATTTAAACCAAATACATATTCATTTGCATTGGGATTAAAAAGCTACAAGATATTATAGAATTGGAAATCTATAAAAGAGAAGAGTACATTCAGGAATTTCACAAGTCTTTATTTTAATCTTTATTTTAGTTACAATAGCAGAAATATCTGCATGTTTACTTAGCTAATTTAGGTATTTAGGGTGGGATTTTCAGAAGAGCCTAATGCTGCTACACACACAATTCCTGATTTACATTTTGGCTTTTGCAGATTCAGACTAACACAGCTACCTCTCTGATACTTTACATTTTTGGGTTGCTTATGTGAAAATTGCATCATTGTTAAGCCATACTTCAACCTTTTAGTCATGCTTAGGATCTGATCCCTTTCAAATTCATTGATTGCAATGAACTCAAAAGGTTATAGATGCTAACTAAATCTAGTTGCTCTTTTAAAAATTAAACATAGTTAAATAACCTGAAATGACCAATGACATCTTTTTTGTGCTTATTTGTAATCAGCTAAATAATCCCAGCTACTTTCTATGATATTAGGTTTGCAATGCATACTATTCTCTCATTTCTAATTGTCTGGGCTACATTTTATGAGGGAGTTTTGACTCCAATAGCTTACCACTCATTTGAACTTTGCAGATTGTACTGCAGCTGGAGAACTAAAGTGAACAATGGTCACTTAAGCCAGTTCTGACACCTTTCCCTGTCTCCAAATATGCAGAAATCAATTGTTAACGCACACACAATAATAGCAACTATGTCATTCAACTTTGTTCTCTCACGCAACAAGTATTTTAGATTACTTCTGCAGGAAAACAAACATAAACTGCATTACAATCATTTCTACAGTAACTTTAGCTCCAGAAGCATCAGAAAAGGGATCTAGTTGTGAAAGAATTTCATTCTCAACATCTAGATCCCTGCCAGGATTTGAAAAACAGTTTATTTTGATTGCCCTTTAAATTTCATAAATTGCTTATTGGCACAAAGGCAGAAATTAGGATGCTGTAAAATTCATGACTAACAGCTAATCTGTTGTATAAAAATATCCATCCCTTATGGAATTCACTGAAAAGTTCTTAAGATGGGGGGAAAGTACTGAACTACATATAGAGTACATATTTTTAAATACATTAATTATGGATAGCAATGCCATATGTAATAAACTGTATTATTTGACCACTTATAAATCTGTGCAGCATAAGAAAACATTATCATCCCATTTACAGTTCTGCCAGTCTTTTTCTTCTCCTTTTTGTAAAAAACCAGAAAACCTTTTCTCTTTATAAACCTGGTCTTCCACAATTTTATTATGGAGAAAATTACATTACTGAAAATTGTTTTATGCTTTTGTATTGTTAAAAATCTATGACAGTTTAGCAGTCCACATCATGAAAATAGAGAGGACACAATAAGCAACTATGCACGAAGTGGAAAAGTTCCTAAAGTGACTTAATATTTTAGATATCTGCCTACTAGTTAATATCCAAATGAGAATTCGTTGTCTGAAATAATGTATATGTGCCTATCTAGTTCTATAGGGATTTTTCCTATATGACTCCAATTTATCACAGCTGTACATTGGTACCTAATTTCTTTTTGATGGATTCAGATTCAGAAATTTGTTCAGCTAACACATCTGATGCTATGCTCCCAAATCAACTCTCAGAAAAACAATACAAAACAAATATGGTCTCACTGATGAATGAACACTTTTCACAATATGTATCTCACCACTCAGTCCTTATCCTCAAATGAAGCCTACATACAACCTTCAAAAAAACAGACTGGTAGGTTAAAGTCATAACTTTGCTAGACACAAAATATATTGATCTTAATAAAGATGCATTATGTATGGCATAATGCGGGGCTGGGCAAAATACGGCCCACAGGCTAGATCCAGCCCACCAAGCCACCAAATCCAGACCGCGGACGCAGCAGGGAGCCCCCAGGCAGGCTCCGTGCTTGCCTCACAGCCCTGCACACCACTCAGAAAAGTGGCTGCAGAGCCATTTTTCTTTCAAAACTGTGATCCCGGAGGGCAGGGGAAAGCTTCAGTCATTGACCCCGCCCCCAACACAATCCCATCGGCCAGTTTCTGCATCCATGGTTGCCAGGATGGTGTTTTCAGGAAGCTTGATTATGCACTGTAGTTTCTTCAGTGGTGTATCATGCCGGTAGCATAGACTCAGCATAGCCAGATAATTTTCCTGTAGGGGTGAAAATGCTGAGCTGACATTATTTACCTTACTATTATTCCAATATAAAGCAAGAATCTTTCCTTATCCATGTGTATCCCACTGACAGAAAGAAGGCTACTTAGGTAAGTAATGACTGTAGGAGCAGTTTTAACAGTTGCATATGACCCTAAAAAAGTACATCTAAATACAAATTATGCGGAAACATATTACAAGCAGATATAAATTCCGTTGGTAGCCAGACACGTTTCATAGGATCCTCATACATTGCACTACATGTCATATTATGGCATGATAGGATAATATATTGATTACGTTTTGCTGTTTCTCGAATAATTTTATAGTTTCAATATTTGTCATGCACCAAAACCCATATCCTTTCTAGTTAGAACTATTTTCTAAGTATAAAGTACTATCATGAATAATACTTGTCTATTTTAAATTAAAACATTGAGTAAAATATTAAAGATATGTATGCCAGCACATAGATTAATGGTATTGACGCATTGTTTTCCATATTAAATGCTATTTATAAACTAGTCTAATTTTTGATATACAAAACATTTATAAATATTTAAGTTGGGGAAACCATATTTGTTTCATTTTCATTACATGTGTTCGAACTATTGTTATAAAAGTAGCACCTCTAATCAGTTAGTATTGACAAAGGGAGATTTCCCCTGTTCACCTAAATGAATCCTAGTCATGATGCAGAACCTGAACTGTAGATGGCTTTTATTATTCCAATATAAAGCAACATCGTATTCTTCCAGCTCAACTTTGACTTCACATGAGTACATCTGGCTATAGGATTCTAGATGCTCACTGCAGGTGAACCAAATTTAAGGTTAGAAAAAATGTTGCAAAACTTTGCAAATGTTTTATAAAATGGAAGCTGTAAGCCTAATATGAAATAGGTTTTGTGAAAGTGGCCTCTGTTAAAGCAGCCAAAGCAAGCTATACTAGTATGTAGGAAAAAATGCTGTGCTTTTAAATTGAAAACTAGGATGATGCTATCTATATTCATCATCTTGATGAAGCAGTCATTCCATGGTTTAACGTAGCTGCAAAATGTCTTCAATGAAAATACCAGGAAATACCTGCATGAATCCATGAAGAGTGTAGGTAAGACAGTGACCCTTAATTACATATTTATTAGCATTCATTGGGTTATTACTTTGTGTTATGTTTTACCTTTGTGTCCTTTAAGCATTCTTGTTTTAATATAGTCAATGTCTTTTTTCTCTTCTGTATATATTTTGTAGATTCACAATCAGTATCCTACAGAGTTTGAATTCAATCAGTATTTCCTGAAGTTCTTAGCTTTTCACTACATTTCAAATCGATTTAAAACATTTCTTCTGGATTCAGACTATGAAAGACTAGAACACGGTATGTGTAGTTGAATGTGGTTGATGCTCATTCTTTTTTGTTCCTTTCATTTCTCTGTTATTTTACGCTTTTGCCCTTATTACTAAGTTCACAGGAGCCTTTTCATTGTGAGATGTTGCAACAACATTGTACTACTGATTACATTGCAGCAAACTAGAAACATAGAAACTTAGCGTAAGCTGCGTAAGTGCCATGGGTATACAGGCAGTCCCCGGGTTACATGGATCCGACTTACATCGGATCCCTACTCACAAACAGGGTGAGGCAACCCCGCACTAGCTGCTTCCCCCCAGCAGACCAGGGAGACGCGAAGCTAGCGCCCCTCCCCCCCCCCCAGCAGACCAGGGAGACGCGGAGCGGCTTTTCTCAGCAGACACCTTAGCTTGAGAATAAAGGACTGAGGGAAGTGAGGTGTGGGAGAATAAAACTGAGCTCTGAAGAAATGTTTGGCTAGAGTTTCCCCTACAATATGAACCAGTTCCGACTCACATACAAATTCAACTTAAAAACAAACCTACAGTCCCTATCTTGTACGTAACCCGGGGACTGCCTGTATTAGAATTAATTCTGTGGACTAAGGCATTGGCAGCTCTGTTTTGTGAATGTGTAGTTCCTGAGCCATGCTACAAGGGAAGAAAAATTGAAAGAATAGTTATAATTGGCGGAGCCTTGCTTTTCTTTCCAATCCACTCATTCAATACAGTTTCCCCTTCCGTGTGCCTGTTCTCTAAAAGACTTTTGGTTTTTGTTGTGGTTTTGTTTTTTGTTTTTTGGGGGGAGGAAGGTTTGGTTGGTTGGTTGGTATTTTAAGTACAGAAAAGATCCTGTGATTCATGAGATTGTATGGCATTACCACAAAGTCCTTTTCTCCCTTTTTCATGAAGTCCTGTGTTTTCTTTTACTTTATTCCTCTATTTCTAACAGGCTAACTGGCTTCATGTAAGGCCTTACCTGCCTTCTGAATTCTCAGCCCTGTCTCTGACAGATTGCTCACTCAGTCACATCCACCTTTCCCTGGCTTACCTCTGAACATGTGCAAGAAGCAAAATGGTAGTGAAAACTCTGAAATTAAGTTGTCACAGAGAAATCAGATGTTTCATGGCAAGCAGTCTATTTAATGCTTCCTCTAAAGTCCCAAACAACTATGAAAATAATGCAGGCACCAAGCAACCATTCTTTATCTGCACAAAATATTGATTTGTATTAGGGATGCCAACCTGTAGCCGACTATGTAATTTAACCGATAACCTTGGAATTATTGGTTAATCCTATCAACTACCTGCCTCTGTATGAGAGGCAGCAAGGGAGGAGGTGGGAACCAGTGCTTGGGGATCCTATGGAACTGCCTTAGACACACATATGCACACTGCTGCCTCTGATAGAGAGGCAACATTGGGGAGGATGACGGGCAGGTGGGAGCTGGTACACACTGGAAGCCACTTTCAAGTGGCTCCTCGCGCATATCAACTTCCACGGAGCCGCTTCCCTTTCTATCATAGACAGTAGCATGGTGGGGGAGTGGAAGGCGGGAGCCAATACACGGGGGGGGAGCCATCTTTTAAGCTGGCTGTGTGCATGTGCCAGCTCCGTGGAGCCACCTGCCCCCTCTTTAGGCAAGAGCTCTGGGAGACAGGGGAGGCTGCCACAGAGCAGCCTCTGTCTGCAGTGGGTCCAAACTTGCCACAGACAGAGGCTGCTCCGTGTGCTGCCGGTGCAACCTCTGACTGTGGGGAGCTCAGGCCCACTACAGACAGGGGCTTCTACCACCCCATGTTGCTGCTTCTATATTCAGAGGCAGCAATTTGGGGCAGCTGTTGAGAGCCATTCTGCATGGGGGGCTGATTTTTAATCCAGTTCCCCTGGTGGACCAGCTCCCACCTGCCATCCCTCACTGCTGCCTTTGATACAGAGGCAGCAGCACAGGGTGGAAGGTGGCCCCCGGGAGTGGAGCCAGGAGCACTCTGGTTTCTTGCCCCATCCCAGGGGCTAAGATTTGATGCGGTTAAATGCATCGATATCTAACAAAATGAATCTGTATGTTCTTCTTTGCGTGATGTCCCCGTGGATGCTTCACTGTAGGTGACAGGTCGCCCGAGGCCTCAGATCGGAGCCTTGCAAAGTAGTTTCTCTTTTTGAGCTGCGCATACACAGGAGGCGTCTCACGCTGCTCCCGCCCGAGTGTACAGCTCGCACGGCTCAACCCCTCCCTTTCAGTTCCTCTCTACGTGCCCTCAGAGCGCCAACAGCTCCCTCTCAGCCTATTACCTCACGTAGTGCTTCATAGTTATCAGTTAGATAGTTACTTTTAATAAGTTTATAATAGTTAACTCAATAGTTTTTTAGTAATTTCCCGCATTTATTTCTCGCTCAGCTAAAGTGGCACCATCTCTGACAGTGCTGTGTGCTCTCACGCCCGTTCCAACGGTGCACACTGACCCACAACTGAGGTGGGAAGCAGAGGAGGCACTATAATCAGCGGCTGATAATTCCAGTAGGCACCAGCACTCGTACCCTCCTTCTGCAGTTCTATCACCTGCAATGTCCTCAGCCCATTGCTCTCCTCAAATACTACAATCTCCAAAATGGTCTCACCATGGTCCTTTACCTGATGATGACCAGGTGACCACATTTTCCTCACAACATGCATCACCGATAGGGTCACGCCCACACCATTATAAATTTGGACCACATCAAAACCCCTGGTACCCACACAGGGCTTCTTCCCCCGCACCTTACCCACTGCAGTGGGTGCCTTGGGAATATTGGTACTCACACAGACACCGGTCCTCAATTCATGCCACACCAGCAAGAAGAGGCTTGCCTCCAACCTGGTCCCTCCCTCGTAGAAAAGACTCAGAAGAGGACAGACAAGTGCCTGACAGAAACCCAGACTCTCATACATTCAATGCATTCCCAACGGACAATTCTCCATCAATACCATCTGATACGTGCCCAACAGACGACATTAAGCAATTTCAAGAGCTTTTTAAAAGAGTGGCAACAAGCCAACAAGTCTCTCTCCAAGAGGGACAGGAAAAACAACACCATCTGTTAAAAAATCTGCACCCCACATTACACGGGGAGATTGCCTTACCTGTAGATGAGGCAATTATGGAAACATCAGATGAGTTATGGAAAAAGCCTGCATCTATTCAGCCTACCAGCAAGAGGGCTGACAGAAAATACTTGTTCTTCCAAAGGACATGGAATTTCTGTTCACACACCCCCAGGCAAACTCCTTGGTGGTGGAATCAGCCCAACAGAGATGCAAACTACCGCAGTATAGGTCAGGCAATCAAGACAGGGATCACAAAAAATTAGATCGCTTCCGCAGAAAGGTCTATTCTTCTGCATTGCAATTGAGAATTGCAAATTACTCTGCTCTTTTGGCATACCATGATTTTGATAATAATTCAAAATTGGGGGATCTCATGGGACACCTCCCTGAGTCAGAGACCTGTCCTGAAGGCAATAGTCCATGAGGGCCACATGATTTTCTGCACTGCCCTACAAATAGCACTGGATGTTGCCGATACTGCAGCTAGAGCAACAGCCACAGTGGTGGTAATGTGCAGGGCATCCCGGTTACAGGCTGGGAACTTTGGTCCAAAGTCGAGGACCTATCATTTGACAAACTAAAGTTATTCACAGCTAAAACAGATGAGGTCCTGCATAGTAGTAAAGTAGTCAAGAACTAAACTCTGAACTCTGGGCACATACATTCCACCCTATAGACATAAACGATACACTCCCCCCCCCCAAAACCGCAACAGATACGGGCAATATAATCGACCACCACAGAAACCCTACAAAGACACCAGGTCCAGACAGTGGCCACAAAGAAGATGCTTCAACCAGGGCCGCCCTTCCAACTAAACCACGAAATAGCAAATTTGAGGGTGTGGTCGAGGGTCTGCAAAATCTCCCTCATGATCTAATGCCAATGCAATACAGCCATCTTTTTATCCATCATTTGCACCTCTTCTTAACGCAATGGAAGTCTATAAGATCAGACCAATGGGTGTTGGGAATAATTCTCATCAGATATACTATCCCCTTTCCCATCCCCCCCCCCCCCATCCTACCCAGTCCCTCTTCAGGAACCTCTCTCATGAGGCCCTGCTAAAACACGAGATCAATCATCTCCTGATGATTGGGGCTATAGAGAGAGAACCCAAGAAATTTCGCGGAAGGGGGTTCTACTCAAATTACTTCTTGACAGAGAATAAAATGGGGGGTTGGAAGCCAATCCTTGACCTCCGCAAACTGAACAAATTTCTGAAGAAACACCAATTCAAGATGGTGACGCTAAATACAATTATTCCAGCATTAGATCAAGGGGACTGGTTCGCAGTCCTCAACCTGCAAGATACTTACTTTCATTTCACCATCCATCCAGCACACAGGCGTTACCTACTCTTCACTCTTGGACCAGACCATTTTCAATACAAAGTCTTACCTTTCGGCCTTTTATCAGCTCCCCAAGTATTTTCAAAGGAACTAGCAGTCGTTGCGACATATCTCGGACAACAACCCATCATCATCTTTCCATACCTCGACGACTACCTGATAAAAGGGGTATCATGTGAGGAGACCACCTCCATGATAAACACAACCAGAGCCCTCCTCAGTCACCTAGGCAATCTAATCAACTAACAGAAATCAATGCTGCATCCAGTCCAAGACACAGAATTTATAGGCACCCACCTAGATTCGATCTTACCCACTGCTGTGCCAATGTGACCTTCTTTCCCAGAACCATGGGAAAATGTTACATCCACAATCCAATACATTCCACGTCCAAAGAGGGATGTAAATTAGACATATCGAAATTGCAAATGAAGCCGGGATTTGAATTTCCAATGCTTCATTTGCATAATTGCTTCATTACTTTTTTTTGAAAAATGCTATTTCGAAAGTGAAACTGCAATCTTAAGTTCTGGTCATTTTTGCAATATTTTGCAATATTTTCATTTCTTAATAAATGTCATAAAACAAAATTCTCCTGATTATGCTTTACCATTTGTTACATATCACTCTAAATCCATCTTTTACCTTTTTTCTGATAGGAACATTGTTTGAAGATAAAGGAGACAGGCATGCCAAAAAGGGAATCTGTATTTGGGAATGTATTGAAAAAATGCACAAAAGGAGTCCAATTTTCTTCAATTACCTATATGCACCTGTTGAAATAGAGGTATGACACAGAAACTTTTATGTTGTTTGTTATTCTGAATGATTCTTTAATTAAAATTTGTCACTTGTTGAATTGGCCTAGACCACTTTCAGACATATTTTATGCTAACTAACACTGCTGAAGACAGGTTAAGAAATATTAATAGATCATTGCAATGTTTCAGTACTTTATATCACTAGTCATCCTAAATATTTAAGTCTTACACTGGTTACTTATAAAGAGACAAGTCCTAGAACAGGCTTGCACAACTCAGAAAGCAATGACGGCCATATTACTCCAAAGAAAACAGCTGCAAGTAGGGATGCTATCCCAAAAAATACCAAGCACATGACTAGAAATTTTTGTTGAGCAAAAACAAAACAAAAAAAACCCACCACGTCTCAGCTTGACCCCCTGGCATTTGTCTCTCCTTCAGCCTGCCCCTTGGTGTCTTCCCCTTTCTCCTGTCCTGCCCCCCTTCCCTCAGCACAAGCCCCTGTCATGGCTCCTTCCCCACTCTGGCATGATAAATGCAGAAGTGGGGGCCAGCAAGTGTACCCCAAAGCCTTATCTACCAGGCCTTGGTATAAAACTTCCCCCAAAATCTTAAAAACCTAGATCTTGGGAATAAAACTTCCGCTGCCACCACCCAAATGTTGATAAAGAAGTCAGGGGAAAGATCATTTGGGAAATCCCAACCCTAAAATAAAAATCAGGCACACAATTAACCACTGCCAGGTTAATAAAAAGAAAAGAAAGAACTTTTATTATTACAACAATATTCCTGTTGCAAGCATAATGACTAGATAGGTAGGTAACAAAATATACTCATGGAGAAACTCCATGGGCCTAGAACTTAGTTACAAAGAAAAGCCAAAACATCTTTTAAACAGTGCCAGATCTCAGATCCCATACCCAACCCTTAAAACAATAAAGCCTAACGAAACTACCTAAACTTTACCCTACTTACAGAAAATGAAGAATGGTGTCTTGGAGAAAGAGAGAGAGACATGCTTGTCCCTCTCTGTAGCTGCAGAGAACACACCCCGAGAGACAAAAGAAGAAAGGAAAAATCTCAAATTCCTTTGTCCCAGTTTGAAAGTCCCACGTACATTCCTACTGGTCACTCCACCTGGCTAGGTGTAGTTAACCCCTTAATTCCCAGGCTGCTGGCTAACCCTCATAATCATGAAAGCCCCTTCCCCTCCTCTACCTGGCTTCTGCCTTTCTCGCCACCTGGCTCGCGTCCTGCCTCCTCGCGCTGGAGCTGCACGCAGGCAGCCCAGCAGCGAGAATCACCACACTTCCCTCTCCTCGGCGGTGCTCCCCTCCCCCACCCGGCAGGCAAATCGGATGGGGCCGCACCGCCCGCAGTTGTCACGGGCTGCACAGTGAGCCCTTGCGGGCCGCCTGCTGCTCTAGGGCCATATGTTGTGCAGGCCTGTCCTAGAATATTTCCTTATGCATGTGTATCCCACTGACAGAAAGAAGGCTACTTAGGTAAGTAATGACTGTAGGAGCAGTTTTAACAGTTGCATATGACCCTAAAAAAGTACATCTAAATACAAATTATGCGGAAACATATTACAAGCAGATATAAATTCCGTTGGTAGCCAGACACGTTTCATAGGATCCTCATACATTGCACTACATGTCATATTATGGCATGATAGGATAATATATTGATTACGTTTTGCTGTTTCTCGAATAATTTTATAGTTTCAATATTTGTCATGCACCAAAACCCATATCCTTTCTAGTTAGAACTATTTTCTAAGTATAAAGTACTATCATGAATAATACTTGTCTATTTTAAATTAAAACATTGAGTAAAATATTAAAGATATGTATGCCAGCACATAGATTAATGGTATTGACGCATTGTTTTCCATATTAAATGCTATTTATAAACTAGTCTAATTTTTGATATACAAAACATTTATAAATATTTAAGTTGGGGAAACCATATTTGTTTCATTTTCATTACATGTGTTCGAACTATTGTTATAAAAGTAGCCCCTCTAATCAGTTAGTATTGACAAAGGGAGATTTCCCCTGTTCACCTAAATGAATCCTAGTCATGATGCAGAACCTGAACTGTAGATGGCTTTTAAAATAGGGAAAATGGGAGAGGTTTTCAGGGTTCCAGATGAGAAATGAAGGAATTTTCGGTACTTAAGTACGTAAATACAATGTGCACACACATACATACACACCCACAAACACACAATTAGCCTCCTTTTTATTATCTTGTTAGCTGAAAAGATGGTCAGAAAAGAATAGCTCATTCCTCTCCATGTATAGTCTACTGTTGGTGTGCATGTGTCCTATGCACTCAAGTTCAGCTTCTTTTGAATATTGGAGTGGCGTTTATACCAAATGTCCTCATGTCTGCCACCTAAGATATAAATGGCAAGGTGATCCTAGCTGTCCGTCAGATCCTTCACCAATAAAATATACAGATGTTTAAAGATTTCCATAATATCAAGAAGGGCATATCATGGAATACATATGGGCGACACATCTCGAAGAACTGTAGTTATTGTAAGGTAAGTTACCACTTCTTCTCTGAGTGTTTGTGGCATCTCACCACCTTTGGCTACAAGTTGGAATTTGCTAAATCCAAACTTCTCACACACTGTGCAATCTATACCGTCCTGGCCACCATGGATGTAGAAGCTCTTTACACCCTCATTCCACGTGATGATGGATTATTAGCTGTCAGGAACTCTAGCCCCGATGATGCCACTGCACACCTGGTTACAGAGCTCTGTGACTTTGTCCTCGCTCACAACTATTTCCAATTTAGGGACAATTCTTCAAGTCAGCGGTACAACCGTGGGCACCCGCATGTCCCCACAATATGCCAACATCTTTATGGCTGACCTTGAACAATGTTTCCTCAGCTCTTGCCCCCTATCACCTTTACGCTACATTGAAGACATCTTCATCATAGGGACCCACAAGAAGGAGGCCCTTGAAGAATTCTGCCGGGATTTCAACAACTTCTGCCCCACATAACCCACAACATCAGAAGCTCAAACAGCTGCACATTCTCAAGTGTGAATATGTGCCATCAAGTTCCAGCAATGACCCTCTACTATGTATACAGCCAGTCCCCGACTTATGAACGAGTTACATACCAAACACTTGGTCATAACTCGAAGTGTTTGTAAGTCAGACTGCATTCATTTAAATGTGACCACACTGTTCATAAGTGTGGATCGTGCATTCATAAGTCGGGGACTAGCTTATGAACGCTTAATGGGAGGATTGGTCATAAGTACGAACAGTTGTAAATCGACCGTTCATAACTCGGGGACCTGCTATACTGGCCAAACCAGACAGTCTTTACAACAAAGAATAAATGGACATAAGTTAGCTATCAGAAATGGTAATACACAAAAAACAGTAGGAGCACATTTTAACCTACCTGGCACTCATTAATGGATTTAAAAGTAGCCTTTCTTCTACACAAGAATTTCAGAAACCAACTACAGAGAGAGACTGCAGAACTGGCCATATGCAAATTTAAAACTATCTCTCATGGCTTGAACAAAGACATGAATTGGATGGCCGTTATTTTCAATACCCAAATGACATAAAAAACTTAAGTATGGGACACTTACAGCCCATTCAATTAGCCTTATTAGCATCAACACTGCAATTTACAGGGTTTTTACTCCCCCCTCCCTTTTTTTCTGTTATATATTGGGTGAATTCTCCTTTTTCTTCACTCTCATCTGATGAAGAGGATTTTGCCCATGAAAACATTATATTTGTTTGTTAGTCTCTAAAGTGCTACAGGACTACTTGGTTTTTTAACGTTACAGACTAACACAGCTACCCCTCTGAGAAAGGTGCACCAAGCCCATAAAGGAAAGTGGTCCAAGTCTTCTTTTTCAAATCCTTCCTTGAGAAATCAGGAACTCAGTACCCTAAGCACCTCTCACTGTTCATCAAGATCAGATTCCTCTGTACTTCAACAACTGCCTGTTACCAAACTCTTGTCCCTGTTTACTCCAGTACCAATATCCCCAATACCAACACCATATACCTATTCACGCCTACAGCATACTTTTCTCCAAAATCTTACAATCCTCAAAGGACCTTTTGGTCTCTTCCATATTGGATTCCCCATTATTATCAATAGGGAAGGTATTTCTTCCATTACTTCCACTATTTGATCTGAGGAAGTGGGTCTGGCCCACGAAAGCTCATCATCTAATAAACCATCTTGTTAGTCTTTAAAGTGCTACATTGTCCTGCATTTTGCTTCAACTACCCCAGACTAACACGGCTACATTTCTATCACTATTCTTCCATTACCGACTGCCAGGCTCATTCTGCTACTGAGCATATCAGCTGTACCAGACAGAGTGCAGCCTAGTGATAATCCCAGCATTCCCTCTGGAACCGCTGGAACCCCACAAAAGGAGCGCTTCTGCTCTTTCCCAGGCTTCGATGACAATGAGTCATTACCATTACAGTCCTTGGGATCTAGATATTCAGATCCATATGTTTCAAAGAGGGAGTCTAGAACGCATTATTATTATCCCAGACAATGAGCTCTAAGAAGGAAACAACCTACTCCAAAGCTAGAAGAGGAGGTGGGCAAGGAGTGCGCCCTCGGGTGAGGGAGTAGAGTCGGAGGTAGGAAGAAGTAGAATGGGGGTGGGTCTTCGGTGAAAGGGTGGAGTAGAGGCAGGGCCTGGGCAAAGTGGAGGATGAGTACTCCTAGGGCAATAAGGAAGCCAGTGCCTGTGGCCAGACTTGTGAATATGTCTGATTTTTAAAAGTATTTGGGCATTGGTCTGCTCAGCATTTTAATCCCTAACTGAATTATAAGCCTAAATCTCATTGACTGTCAATGAGACTTAGGGTCCTAAGTGCCTGATGAAACTTTTTTTTTTTAATTGAAACTTAGGTTTGTAAGTCAGACTGAGAGTGTGGTGCCTAAATACCTTTATTTAGAAATCTGAGCCAAAATTCTAGTGATAATGGCAGCTTATCTCAAGAAACAAAGAGTCTGGGTTCATCCATACTTAGAAGTCCCAGGAGAAGGTGCCTGACTCCATACAATAAACTCCATAACTTTTTGCCTCTTTAGGATTAAAAGTAAACAATAGGATATCCATATAGTTCTTATTCAAAGAATAGTATTTCAAGAGGCAGTTGACCTATCTGCCCTGAGAAAGATTCTAAGCCATAGGCAGTCTGGCCAAGCACTTGTTTGCTCAACATGAGATTTGTGTAAGAATTTGTTTCAGACTCCTAGGGCGCATGGCTTTCTGCACATCTTTAATTCAGCATTCCAGACTATACCTTTATTGCAGGTAAGGATGATCAATCTTCCTATGTCAGCCCAACAACCATAACCAGGGTATGAGACACAGGTCTTCCAGGACTCCTGTAATAGATCTCTCTCCATCATTAATATAAAATACTTTTGTGACATATACCTCCACTGATGGAAGACATCTATACAGTAACAGAAATCTTGGAAATGGCAGAGGTGCTTAATGACTTCTTTGTTTCAGTTTTTGTCAAGAAGACGGATGGAGATGGGTTGCCTAACATAGTGAATGCTTGTGGAAATGGGGTAGGTTTAGAAGTTAAAATAAAAGAACAAGTTAAAAATTACTTTAAAATGTTAGATGTCTGCAAGTCACCAGGGCCTGGTGGAATGCGTCCTAGAATACGCAAAGGGCTGATAGAGGAAGTATCTGAGCCTTTAGCTATCATCTTTGAAAACTCATGGAAGTTGGGAGAGATTCCAGATGACTGGAAAAGGGCAAATATAGTGCCTATCTATAAAAAGGGGAATAAAAACAACCCAGGAAACTACAGACCAGTCAGTTTAACTTCTGTGCCAGGGAAGATAATGGAGCAAGTAATTAAGGATCCATCTGCAAACATCTGGAAGATAAGATGGTGATAGGTAACAGCCACCATGGATATGTAAAGAATAAATCATGTCAAACTAATCTGATAGTTTTCTTTGATAGGATAACAAGCCTTGTGGATAAGGAAGAAGCAGTGGACGTGATATACCTAGACTTCAGTAATAGGGTACGTCTAGACTACATGCCTCTGTCGCCAGAGGCATGTAGATTAGGCTACCAGACATAGGAAAATGAAGCGGCGATTTAAATAATCGCCGCTTCATTTAAATTTACATGGCTGCCGCGCTGCGCCCACAAACAGCTGATCAGCTGATAGTCTGGATGCGCGGATGGCGACATCAAAGGTATTTGTCGACCACCCAGGTAAACCTCATCCCAGCTGAAGCATAGTAATATATTACATAAACAAACAAGGGGGAAGCAAGATCCATCTCTCTGTGGGCACGTCTATTTGACAGTGTTACGTTGGCACTGCTGCAGCTCATCTGGTGAAGATGTATGCCAATGGAAGAGCCTTCACCTGTCAAGATAATCATGTCACTCAGGGGAGATGTGTGTCTTTTCACTGCCTTTATGTGGTGGTTTACATGTGCTGTATGTCAAGAAATAGCAAATCGATGGAATTACAATATTTGGAGTACAATACTTGCTGTACACCTACCAGAATTGCACCCCAGATCACCCCAGGAGACAGTTGCATGTGACCATGAGTGGTTAGTAAAGAAAACTGTTATGTATGGTATGTTTATCAAGTGGGGTCATTCAACTATAGACAGCTTTGCCACCACTGAAAGAAAAAATGCCACAAGTTCTTGTCCAAAGGAGGGCAAAGACAAGTATTTCTGTCCAATGAATTCCTGGTCCACTGGTTTTCAGGCCTTATATATGTTTATCCTCTAGTTTCATTGATCTTATGAGTTCTCAGGAAATTCAGGCAAGACTTACCCAGCATGATCATCTTCATAATATGAGCATAGCAAAGGCAGTTCCAGTTCTCAGGCCTAAGGAATCTCCTCATTCAACTTCTGAGTCAGTTACCTCTGCACCCAGAGGTGCTATGCCAAAGCTGAGGACAGGTTCTCCACTAAGATTCCTCTTTCTTGCACCTAATGGCATGAATGTTGGCCAGTTAGCGTAAGTAGAGCAAACCTGTTCAACTGAGATACAAAATAATCTTATCCAAAGTAAAAAGGACTCTGTGAGGCTGATCTGCTCAGGCAAGGAAACAGCTTCACTTGTCTGAGCTCAACATACCAGTTGTTGCCACTGAACACCCAGATATCTGACCTTCTGCCCATAAAGAGCTCTGAGCTATTTATGATCTGCTGGAGGATCCACTTCACAGCCATCTCAGCAGTCCACCTTCCATTTGGCATTTTCATACCCTATGATAGCTAGATTAATGAATGTCCTTATGCAGGTCTATTCCTTTTTATGTTGCAGTGATATTTGCTAAAAGGGTAGAGGAGCTACATGCTTTCATGTCCAGACCTCCATCTGCAAGTTTTCATGAAGTTGGAGTCATCTTGAGACCTAACCCAAAATTCTTCCCCAACTTCTAGCTGAACCAAGTAATACATCTGCCTATTTATGGAAAGGGCAGGCTACCTTCCCACCTTGCATGCAGAGCATATGACTAGGACTAAGCCATTTCAGATATCCCCCAGATTCTTTGTAATTTATGACCATGGGTCAGGCCATATCAATGCAGAAACTTTCTAGTTCCATTTCTGAATACATGAAATTGTACCATGAAATAGCTAACTCATACTCGCTCCACAAAAGCTCAAGTAGCTTCTTACAGAACCATGTAAGCCAGCTACTTTGGGTTTAGTAAATGAGCTAATGCAGCATTACTAAGGGATCTAGATCTGTCATCTATTTTAGGTACCTAAATAATGACCGTCAAAAGCCCTTTACATGTCCATTTCCGTAGGGTTGTCTGACAATCACTGTTTAGGCAGATTCCTAACACCTGACTCCTGTGATGAGATCACTGCTTTTTAATCACCAATAGTAGAATATATATTTGGACAAGCAAGAAGAAATGATTACATGTCTTACAGTAACTGTGGTTTGTTGATAGGAGTTGTCCACACATATTCCACAGCCAGTCTGCCACTGTATTGTCCTATGAGTTCTAAATTGTATTTTGGCAAAGGCACTGAGGAGCATTTAGCTCACCACCCACTTTATGCCCTTGGGTGAGTGGTGCTAGGACACTCAGTGCAGACCTGCCTGCAAATGATACTGCTGGCCAAAAGAATCTGAATTCAAGAGTATGGTGTCCATGCACTCCACTAGCTGCTTATTACATGGACAGTGTATTTTGAAGAAGCACAGTTACTGTGAGGTAACTATTTTTTCCCCTTGGTCTGACATCTTCTTTTGAGTTGTATCCCAGAGTCATGTACAGAAAATGGCAAATCCAGATCAAGCACACACCAGTTGCAATGCCTTGTTACATTCAGGAGATTAGTCTGTAAAATGCAAAGTATTGGATTTGTGTTGATGAAAACTTGGAAACTGAATTTCCGTGTGAAACTAGTTTATTGGGCTTTATTCCAAACAGGCATTAAAACCAAGTGTAAATATCTCCAGCCTCAAAAAGTGGGATTACTATATGGAAGAGACCTTGGCCACAGGTCCTTCCTATGACTGGACCATAGTCACTGCAAAATGCAACACTTCGGACGAAGCTGACCAAAAGGATGGTCCCCAGAGTAAGAGAAAAATAGTGTGGCCATGCTACGATGTTGTTAGCAAAGTGCAACCTGATGCAATCACCTGCCTCTTGATTGTAAGTATAGATGCTAACAAAGACAGAATGCTGCAGTTTATTACTTATCAAATTCATATCCATGCTAATCATTGCCTTGTAGATGTGCTGTAAAAGCAAGTATTGGGTAAAAAAATAATTGGTTTAGTCTCCAGTATGTCTACACGACAGCACTAATTCGAACTAACTTAGTTCGAATTAGTTAATTCGAACTAAGCTAATTCGAACTAGTGCATCTAGACCTAAAAACTAGTTCAAATTAGCAAAATGTCCACATTGAGTGGACCCTGAACCGAGGTTAAGGATGGCCGGAAGCAGTGCCGGCAGGGTATCCAATTAGGACTTAGAGCGTGGAGCTGTTGTCTCAGGCTAGCCGAGGGCTGTGCTTAAAGGGACCCGACCCCCACCCCTGACAGACAGTTCTCAGGGGTTCCCCGCTCGCTTGTCTAACTCGATGAGGGACAGCAAAGCAGTCCTGGCTTGGAGTGCCCTGAATGCCCACACTCGGCACATCACAGCACTCGGCCATCAGCACTCGGCCATCAGCACTTGCCCCAGGCTGCTATCCGGGGGGGGTCAATCGGGGGGCTGCAGGAGAGCATCCACCCCGAGGAGCCCCATTCCTCGTACCCCATTCCTCCCTCACCTCCTTACACTTACCCCTCTCTAGCCCCCCTTCCGGATGTACAAAATAAAGGACATGTGTGTTCAAAAATAGAAACTCTTTTTATTGAACAAAACTCGGGGAGACTGGGAAAAGGAGGTGGGAGAGGGGAAAAGAGAAGAGGGGAGGAGGAAACCTGGGAGGAGGGAGCTGGAAGGGGGAAGCCAGGGGAAGAAAGAGGAGGGGACGTATCAAACTATGGTACGCCATATCTTCAGTACTGTGTACAGATGTGATCTCCTCACCCCAGAAAAGATACTTTGGCCTTGGAAAAGGTTCAGAAAAGGGCAACTAAAATGATCAGGGGTTTGGAACAGGTCCCATATGAAGAGAGGCTAAAGAGACTGGGACTTTTCAGCTTAGAAAAGAGGAGACTGAGGGTATGTCTACACTACCCCGCTAGTTCGAACTAGCGGGGTAATGTAGGCATACCGCACTTGCAAATGAAGCCCGGGATTTGAATTTCCC